ACCAGTTTGGCAAAAAATACAATCAAACCATTTATTGGGAATTGGCAAAACTTAAAGCGTAGTGACTTTAAGCTCAAGATACGAACTATTTTGTCGTCTTCTGGAGTAGTCGATGGGATTGCTGCTAAATGGTGTTTTAGAACGAAAAGTGGATAAAGACACTTATTATGATTATAAAACAAAAGACCGGTCACATTGGGTTTGTTGTTAACGACGGAACACATAGCTATGCGTTACATCTTCACCACGTGCAACAGGTATAACAATATTTTTTTTTATTCACTTAATGTACAAAGATAACCAACAATATGAGTAAATAAATATAAAATCAAAACAGGCCCAATAGAAGGCATCGCCTGTAAATGGACCAATAATTTTAAGTTGCAACTGTAGAATGCATATGACAAAAAAGGACAAAATTAGCTACAGTAGATTATGTATTTACTTGATGTTCGTATTTATGAGTTTATGAATTTCAGTCCTAGATATAGAGTGTAGCCGCTTTTTTTAAATTTCTTTTGAAACAATTTCCGAAACGTAAATCTTTTAAGTCTTTAGGTATAATTTCATAAAATTTTGGCGCTAAATAGAGATATGACCGCTGTATACGGTGATACATTAAATTACTGTCGCTAAAATTCAGTTTTAATTTTTAATAGCTTGATTATTCTCTCTTTCGTTTTCTTTTAATCCGTTCGGGTTTATTGACAAATGTTTGTCAGTTCTCAATGTTTTACCACCTACTCCTGCTAGTTAAGCCGAGGATATCGAAATAGGCTCATAAGGATATCAAGAAACACTAACAACTTCTGTTGTTTCAAAAACCTCAGCTGCTCGTATTAGCTTTTCATCAATCCTTTATAGCAGCTACAACTAAGTTAAGGCTTAAGTAGAAGAATAGCTGACGCTAAGTTCCGCCCACTTATGACTTATATAAAGGAATTTGTTCTTATCATTAATAAATAAAATAAGACCAAACTAATTTAGAAGTCAATATTAGGTCGATGGAGCAGTTATTACTAATAGGTCGAGGGATATAAACAACTATTTGGGCCATCTTATGGTAAAAACGTAGTAATTTTCCCTATAAAATAGTAGGAGTCTGGCATAAGTTTAGCAATCAAGGAAACATACTATGTCGCGCATACATACAGCTGCTATGTTAAATTTCACACACATTAAATTAGAAATCAAGGTGAAACTTGACCTTGGTTTTTATTTTTGGACAAACAATTTGACATTAAACAATTTTTCTCATTGATGTTAGTAGGCTATATTTATTAGTTTGGCGTAGCTGGCACGATGTGTAGGAATTATACAACAATCCCACTTATATAGTATTGCGTGTATGCGATAGGAAAAAATTCCAGAGAGATATCATTTTCTACTTTTTAAATTACAGTCGTTGGCTAATCCGAAGGGAGAGAGAAACAGAGAGATTGACGTACCGGGGTGTGTTCATTAGTATCACTTGGTGTTTGATTTTGTTAGTTTTGTGGTATATACGCTATTATAGTATGTGATTTTTTAAGATCCTGTATTCAGCTTGTTCCACGGAAAACAGGTAGTATAGGTTTTAATAACCCGGTAGTATTGTGAGGTATGCCTATAAGCCTTGGGCCTCTTGCGGCTTAAATTTTCATATTTCGTGTAAGTTAAAATTCTTACTTCGAAGTTAACGTCAATGTCGAAATCTAGGCGAAAACATCCTTGAAACTTCAAGGTGAACAATAAGGTTATTTAGTCGACACATCGACTTTTCTTATTAACCTGGGTTGCAAACTTACAAAGAAATTTTACTGGTCACTGATAAGACAATTTTTATTTAAAACTATTCTCAAGACGAAACCTATCATTGAGGACATATTGTTGAAATTATGTAAGCTATAACCTCTGGTTTTGAGTTCGAGGTCAAGAATTCTTTAAGTACTTTTTAGAAGTGTGTTCTTTGTTATTTTGAACCAACCAATCTAGCTTCTTGGTTCAAGGTCTACTAGGGTCCTAATTTGGTACGTAGATACCAATTTTTAACAAAGGATTCAACTCTCAAAACAATTCTACCTTTGAGGTCAGTATTCAACGATATAATTATCATAATTTGGCAAATATAGGTAACATTTTCTTGGGTGGCAGCTCATTTTAACAAACTGCTAGTTGGGTGAACTACCACTCAGTCTAACGTCTACCTGGTTAGCAAAGATAGTACTCATAGATGATGTATAACGATGGTAACATTTCAAGTAACAAATCTAATGTTTCGGAAAAAACTTTTAAATTGACTTGTGAAAAACTAGGTCAAATTGATCTGTCAGGATTCCCATCAGTTACTGCAGTTCCAAATAGAAGAACATTTCCCAGATCAATCATGCTAGAGACCAATGGGCTTAGTTAAACGGATGAATTGTTTCCTGAGTTTTCAGTAGCACAATATAACAGGTAAGGCAGCTTTTACATAAAATTGGGATTCATGTAGCTGAAAACGAAACTGGATAGTTCGAAACCCAAAAGTGGTCTTTAAGGTTCATCTGTCGAACGATCATATCTAGATAGTTATATGTACATAAAAAATGCAGGCAGGTTTCAACTTTCCACGTATATACACGAGGGAAGTCTTCGAATTTCAGATTAGTTTCTTTTTATGTTTACAACATCAAATACATTAACACATGTTACTCACTTACTTATAAGCCAGGAAGTATTTTTGCATCTGCTTGGTAAAGTATTTCGAAATAATATTATTTAAAAAGGTATCTTTCTTATAAATCTGCATGTTGACCAAAATTGCGTTAAACATTTTTTCTTAAATATTCAATTATTATTGTTTTCTTGGCCTCGAAAATGATTTTCCCATCAAATGCGGGAAGTTATACTTTTCCGCACGCGACACCAGCTCTCTAAGAACGTTTCTCTAATGTTTGTAGTTTTCGAGACAAAAGTATTTGAATTACTGCAAAATGTGCCATTTTCGACTCCAAAAACTAGTTTGTAAAAACGAAAGTTTTAATGGTGATAAACTTCCTATAGGTATGTTCTTCAAGTATCCATTAACAAAATCCTAAAGCGTTTTATGGGGTATTTTTATTGTGAACCTCTATCCTTTTTAATACTCTTCGCGAGGGCGAGTGAGATGCAACAGGCTCCGCTATGATGCAATTTAAAATAAGGGTTTACAATAACAGTATCTTGAAATGCTTTTAGTGTTTGTTAATGAATGCTTGCGGAATATTTAGGAATTTTGGAAAAATTAAAATTTCCGTTTTTGCATATCGTTTTTCGGAGTCGAAGGTGGCGCATTCAGCACTTTTTAGATATTAAATCGCTTATACCTTTCTTGTTCAAAATGACAGAAAAGACTATCTGGAGCGAAAAAAAACAATTACTAGACTTTGCTGTTGTTGCAAGAGAATTGCTCATACAATTTTTACCGCGATTTTGAGTCCAGGAAACAAATAAAATTGTTTTTGAGCATTTTTAAAGCGGATGCGGAGATACTCCCTGAACTATTGATGGAATTTAGGTAGCGATATGCTGTATTATTGGAGGGATGCAAGCTCTGTAATGAAAATGATTGAAAAATCTTATTTGTTAAACATTTTATTCAAGTTTGGTCACAGATTACACAGAGATGCGACAGTCAATGCCGATTTCTCTGATCTTGGTGTCACCAAGTGTTTGACCACTATCCTATCAATTACCATGCGGTTAATTTTTTTGAACGGGTGCAAGTAACTCCGCCTTTTCATATTAAATACTGAATGAACTTATCTTTGATGAGATATAGTGAAAAACAAAGCCGCAAAATACACCATAGGATTGCGTCACCTATTTTTTCAAAATTATTGTTTGAATGTGTCTCAGTGATAGTGACGGAAATCCTATATAACGCAACGAACATTTTTTTTGATGGGCAGTCGCCTTTGGTAATACCTACTCTGGGCTTGAAGGTCGTCCGATATTTGCCAAAATGTCATATTAGTCTGACCAAATACCAAAATAAGCTATAGGAGGAAGGAACTTTCGGACTTTGACTTAACAACGTTTTCTCAAACACTTTCACAAATACCTTACACCTTATCTACATGACGTCCCTTGTCCCAGCGACTGTGAACTTTATCTCTATGCTGACGACACTACACTAGTAGCCCAGTCGTGTTCTGTTAACCTGGTTCACGACAGGCTGCAGAGAGCGGTAGAGGAAATCTTGGGAGTGGGCGGATCGGTGGCCGATCAAAATTAATAATTCTAAAGCGCAGGCAATCTATTGTAATAAAAAAAGGTCGCGGTGCCCCATTAGAGATATCACTGAATACAACTCGTATAGCAAGGGAACGATCTGTCAGATACCTTGGAGTCAACAATGACAAGGGGTTGACCTACACGTACCTACTGATACTTTGAAAACTAAATAATTATGAATTACGTTTGGGCTGCTCTATCCTTTCTTGTGCAGAAATTCAAAATTAAGTTTGATCAACAAGATTCGGTTGTATGTATAAAATGGTCATAAGACCCGCAATCACCTACGCAGGCGCGGCTTTGTGGTTGCTTGCCAAGACGCACATGCAGAGACTGCAAGTCCTGTAAAACAGAACCATACGCAAAATTACTAAATGAGGCCATTCATACAGTTCTTGACATCCCATATTTAAGGATACCTAACCTAAAACAACAAGCAAAGCGGCGTTTTAGTCAAGTAGAATCGCAAAGCAAGCAACCCTCTGATAAAGCTTAAGCGTTTTCTACCTCAAATGATTAGCTTTTCTCCTTTGTTATATTTCTTCCTTCTTTTTCTCCTTGAACATGTTTGGTATCTGATGATGGGTAGCCAGACCAGAGAGACTAACAGACCGACGAGACTTTTAACTAAGCAAAGGTCAACAGGACCGCTCTGCCGAACAATGACGAATAGTACCAGAATAAGCTCCTTTCTCAGTCTCCCAGAATGTTTTTTTTTTTGTTACGAATGTACTTCAGAAATGTGACTATTATTTACCTTTCAGAACCCCTTCTCCTCAGCCGCTGGCCTAGTCCTTCGACCGCTCCGCTGTACAGCTGTACGCATCGAGGGCGTGCCCCACTCCCAAGTATCACTATCGACCGCTAGAGGGCTGTGTCATCCTCGCCGACGTCAATGTACTGTCAGCGAAAGAGAAAGGAAACGGGATAGGCGTCAGTGGTCGCAAGCAAGACGCCGCGCAGCCACAGCGTGTGTGCCAAGCAAAAAAACAAAAAGCAACTGTTTTATTAGTGATGGTGTAGTGGACCAGTGACCGCTAAGTATGTCGAAGTACGAGGGATGTCAGTTGTTCGCGGGGTTGGCCAGTTATACCGGCCTCGAAACCGACCAGTTCAACTTTATTGTGGGCCAATTGGCCGCGATGGGCTTGGCCACGCTGTACCGGACCGTCCTACACCCTTCCAAGACCAGCACCGCGGTCAGGCACGCGTTCGGCCTCGTTTTCGGCCTCTGTATCGGGTATTTTTGCTTCGGGTTCCAGGCGCTGCACTTGGCTGGTCTTCCAGGGATCTGTTATGTTGTCATGGTAACGCAGAACGTCCACGTGATGCATGGGATGGTGTTGACGGTCAGTATCATCTACCTGTCTTGCTTGCACCTGCATAGGCAGATCTACGATTATGGCTCATACGGCTTGGATATCACTGGACCACTGATGGTAATCACGCAGAAAGTAACTTCCTTGACATTTAGTCTCCACGATGGCCTTACGAAAAGTGAAGAGGAAATGACGGAGTTGCAGAAGAGTCATGCTGTGTATAAACAACCGAGCTTCCTGGAATACTTTAGCTACAGTTTGCTGTTTCCTTCACTTATGGCTGGACCTGTGATATTCTACAATGACTACATCGACTTTATCGAGGGTAAGAGTTACGTCAAACATCAAACGTCGTCCAACTCGAAGACTGTAATGGTTCAAGAACCTAGTCCTGTGAGAGCTATATGCCAGAAAGTGATTCTTGCCTTGTCCTGTGCCTGTATCTTCCTTATCTTGCTTCCAATGTTTCCAATTCGCCGAGCAAAAGATGAAAATTTCTTGGACAGCACCAGCATTGTCGAAAAATTTTGGTTCTTGACTGTAGGCACAACGTTAGTGAGATTTAAGTATTATTTTGCTTGGACCTTAGCGGATGCGATTTGTAATAATTGCGGCTTAGGTTTCAATGGTTATAACAAAGATGGTTCTCCGAATTGGAACAAGATATCCAACGTAGATATCTACCAATTCGAATTAGCTACTAGTCTGAAACAAGCTATTGCAGCTTGGAATAAAGGTACAAATATTTGGTTAAGAATGCTTGTTTATGAGAGAATGCAGAAGTATGCGACAGTCTTGACGTATGTAGTCTCGGCGGCGTGGCATGGGTTCTACCCAGGTTACTACCTCACCTTCCTTAGTGGTGCTATATTCACATTCGCAGCTAGGGTAGTTAGAAGGCATATCAGAAATTATTTCATGGAAAGCAAAGAAGCAAAACTCCTCTATGACATAATCACATTTGCCATAACTCATTTTGTTCTGGCGTATATCACTTTTCCATTTGTCCTTCTGGAGTTTTGGGCAAGCATTGTTATGTACAATAAAATGTATTGGTGTTTACACATAGGCGCAGTACTGGCGTTAGTACTAGTGCCAAGGTTCGTGCCAAAATCTCAACCTCAAAAACACTATACTCGAGGCAGCATAACCTCAGCTTTGAGGGAAGCGACATTTAACTCTGTGATACGGGGTGACTGATGTTTCGAAGCACAATTTTCGGGCATTTGATAGGATTTATACAAAGCTTATATTGAAATTACCTCGTAAGTGCTTTTTACAATTTTTGGAATAACAGTACTGGTTATTATATCGAAGTGTAGAACTTTTGTAAATAAAATAGTTAATGAATGAGCGAAATAATTGTAATTGAGGGCTTAATCATATTTCTTGCTATAAACTGGAAAGCATAACTATAGCGTCACCAATAACTTTCAACTTCCTTTCGCTCGGGTCAATTGTACCTTAATACTACTTACACGTTGATGAAACGAACAAAAGAAATATATACGGAGATTATTCTAATTGATTTAACAACAAATGTATCACGATAATTTATATATAAAGTTACACATAAACCAACTGAAGAAAAAAATGTTGATGTGGCTCTAGCTATGCTCTCCTGTACACACCTGTTGGTTCAGTGTTTTGCCCAATAATACTATTCAGACAAACCTTTTAATATATACACATTTGAGGACAATTAGTAATCCGAATGTATATAATCTCTCAAAAAAAATGAAATTCGTCCACCGTGTCTACTGTGAATGTATTTTTAAATAACTTACGTCAAAAAATAAATCGTACGTTCCTTTGGTATCACCGCTCACACATATTTCATATTGTTGACATGAAGGTTGACATGATTTAACGTATTATGTCTATAATTGCTTTGGTCTTCACGTTTATTGATAGCCCGGTAAGGCAATAAAAAAATTCTGAAAACCCTAAAAAAACTCTGTAATCGATGAAGGTTTAGGTAACTGAAGCAGTTTTTTTTATCATTAACGAAAAGTTCCGGATACTGCAGGACGAAGGTAGTGAGAGGATCTTAAAACTTTTTGATTATTGAATTTTTTGTTACGGTCCTGTAAATATTATACAATAGATAAAAAATTGTCAAAACTGTTTTGTAGCTTGATGATTGGTATATATACAAAAACAAATATGTTATTTTCAGGGAAACCTGATTTTGTAATTTGTCATCCTTGAACTTTATTCAAATGTTATTTACGCTGCGTTAAATCAAATACAGTATCTATATCGTCAAATTCTTGCGATGAGATCGGCCAGTAGCTGCCTTTTTTTAGAAAGTAGATATTTTTGCTCTTTAGTGAAACTGTTTCATAAAAAATGGAAAATTAAAATCTAGATGGGTTATTCGCCTTAATGATTTTGAAAAGGTCATGGCTTAAAATCGCACTTGACATGAAAAATTAATTAATATTCAGCTTTTTATTTAAATCGTTTATAAGTTTCATTAATTATGGCGCTTGGTAAATGGCTCGAAAAACCATTTTATTAATCTGATGCCTCAAAAATCCTGCACACCATTTACGCATGTCCTAATGAGAGCGCTAAGAGAAATGGCAAATGTCGTGAACTGACGTAGATATGAAAATATCGTGAAGACAACTTTTGAACGATATTTTTCACCTACCAAAATTGTATTAACAACTTTTTTTCTATACACACGGTGTCCCAGAAGTAACACCCCAGAGTGACACGGGTGGTACTCGTAGATTGCTTCGGGTAAAGTCATCTTAGTAAAAGTTGTCTAGCTTTCGAGATATTGCCACTTTTAGGTTCTTTACAAAAGTCCCTACACCTTTTGCTCCTATTTTGCCTGTTATGGCTATTAAGAACTTCCGACTCTTTCTTTCTGACTGATCTTTATCATGGGGTACCATTAATAGTATTATTTTCATTGAAAACTAGCAGGGTATGCTGGTGACATAAGGCTAGCGATCGAATTCTGAATGTGAGAGCGACATAGTCAATGACATGTTTAGGTTCCTTAGTGATTTTGATACAAAAGACTGCTGCACTTAATTTTTATTTGTAGTATTTCTCAAGTATTACGTCTTCAACGACAAAACTTGGAATTGTTCAATTTTCAGTAGAAAGAACCTACAAATATATATTTGAACTAATTTTAAAAGAGCATCAAATGAGCTAGTTTTCAGGATCAGTTGCCGTTTAATTTTTTTCACAGTAATTATACAAAATTTGGTAAAGGTCTTCACATTCAAACTTAAAAGTAATAATTATTTTGTTTCTAGCATACCGTGCTAGTTTTCAATAAAATGGATACTCGGCTGTCTCAACCAACTATTAATGGTTGCTCAGGGAAAAAAATAATACGTCAAAACTTCTTTATAGCCATACAGGAGAAAAAAGTAGGGATGTTTTGAAAAAACTAAAGTGGCAATGTCTCGAAAACTATAAAACTTTTACTATGGTAAGGTTGATTTTATCTGATTGATCGGAAGCCAATCTACTTCCCGTGTCACTCTGGCGCGTTATTTATGGATCATCCTGTATAATGAGGACCGTTGCATAAAAAATAAAAAATGTCCATTTCCTACCTATGGTTGGATCCGGTACCATTCGTCCTGCTGAACAACAATACTTCAATAAAATGAATTGAAATTGTTTCCTTCATTTTAATTTTTTATTAGGTCAAAAGTGTTCATTTACTGGGCTACAGTAACTATCATCTTAAGCTAATTCAAGATTTATATGAGGTTTGATATCCTTGTTGTTACGAGATACTGGCGTTTGAAGCACGGGCCAATGATGTATCCTCAGGTTTGTTACCTTACTATACAATGTGTTTGGTCACGACATACCGATATTTAAGACGGGTATCTTTCAGCTATTTTTATCGACAAATCCACCTCCCTACAATGCCCTACCTCATCCCCCTTGAAAACACACAAAAACAGAAAAAAATATGGAAGAAAATTGATTATTTTGTGCATTTCCGCACACCATTCAAAACGTAGTCTGTGAAGTTGTACTTTTTGTGCTAATTCTACAGCTTTTTGTTATCCTAAGTATTCTGCCTTAAGCAATAAATGCTATCTAACATGGGCCAAAAAGGGTGTAATAAAATGCAAATTGTTTTCAAACTCTCTATACATAAAAATGACAAATCAATGTTTCTTATAGAGAGCTTGGACATGTTTAATGTTACTGAAGCTGTTCAAAATGTCCTCCACTATTGGTCATGCACATTGTTGTTCTTAAAAAATGTGTCGTGTTGAGCGGCAGACCATATCCGTGTCAGCGCTAATTTCATTCGCAGCGGTATGGATCCATTTCAAGGTTGGTGAGGTAGGAAGGACATTGTCGATAAAATTAGCTGAAAAATATCCCCCTCAAATATCGATATATCGTGACCAAACACATTGTATATGCAGCTTGCTGGTATTGTGAAAATAAATTAGTAGACTGAAAATATTGAATCATGGCGAAATTATAATACACATATTTTCTCATTTTTAATTTTTTCAATCACGTTATACTATACCTTTTTCGATTATTTATATTAAAAAGTAAAACGTTCTGTCAAATATAAGATAGGGTAATTCGGGGAGTGATGGCGCACCTTTTTCTTTAACAGCTGTATAAATCGAAAGAAAGACCAAATCATACTCAAAACTTAAACTTTTATTCTTTGGTTATCAAGCAACAAATATCAAACACATTATTCAAATTAGGAAGTATACAGAAACATAAAAAGCTAGCTCTAAGGACATTATACAAAAATCCATCTAACCCGGAAGATGCGGTTGAGATGGCGCAGCTATTTCGGGTGAGATGGCGTACACATAGTAAGATAAAATATTTACTTCTTGGCATTGAATTCGTTATTCAAAACTGCTTTTGCACACCCGTTGCATAACTCACTATAACGTGAACATGTTTCGTGGTACCAAGACAAACATCGGATACATTTTAGCCAATCATCAGGCTTTTTTTTTTCATTACAACCTCTACAGCACTCATCTTCTGAGCCTTCTGAAGAAGAATCATGTAAAGACACATCCGCTTCTGATTCTGAAGAAGTGTTTTCAACCAAATTTAATTTTCGACGGCGCCTACTACCCTTTTGTGTTTTCTCATTTTTATTTTCCACTTTCCTTGTTACAATTTTCCTTGGATGTTTTTCCTGCTTAGATTTTTTGTTTGTAATACTTTCAGCGGAGTTGAGTATTGACGCCACTTGTTTGCTGCGTTTTCTAACTTGCTGAACAGGTGTACTAGTACACGGTATGGGAGAAATATTATTTAACATTTTGCCAGGCGTCAGGTTATTTTTAGGAGGGCTTTCTGGTGGGGGAAGACTGTCCTTTGAACATCCTGGTTGAGGGTGATCCAGAATACTTGCTTGAGTTGTTATCTCTTGTTCGTTATTATTGCAATTATTAACATTATCCTGAACATCTGTGGTCTCCGACAAAAATGCTTCATCCGGAATTGCTTCAGGATTAAATGGTACGATACCTGTTGCCTTAAAGGCTGCCACAGCATTACTTACTGTGGCAGACTTGACCCACGCCGACGCAAGAAGTTCTCCAAACTGAAGCCGTGTCAACCTTCTTGTAGGGTTATTTTTTATATAAAGATTGCACGCTCTGTAATAGTTCATTTTTAATGACTTAAAAAACCCCCTATCCAACGGTTGCAGAAATTGTGTCGTATGACTGGGTAGGCATACAAGGATGATATTGTTACTGCTGGCAAACTCGAGCATTTCAATGTTGTTACAATGTGATCCATGTCCATCCAGCAAAAGAATAACCGTCCCAACTGGTTTCCTTGGTAGGAATTGTTCTTTTAGCCAAAGGTAAAAGAGAGCACTATTGATGTAGGCGGATTTTTCATTCATGTAGACTTTTGACCCCGGTGGCAGACCGTCTTCATACTCAGCTTTCTTATTTTTGCCCTTCATAATGCAGGTAGGGGGAATATATACACCTTCCGCACTAAAACATGAAATAACAGTAATGGTTTCTCCCTTTTCCGCAGCGGTGATGCTAGCTACATTCTTAGAACCTTTGGCAGCAACAACGAATCCGGGTTTGTTATTCAATTGCATTCCAGTCTCGTCCACGTTGAAGATGTGGCTATGCTTTTCAAAGAGTTGATTTTCTGCAAGGACTCTTTCCAAAAGCTTAAAGTAGTCAGCAACC